TACTACCCGCGCAATCCCGCCATGCAGCAGGTAATAAACACCGAAGTGGTCGAATTACTCACCGCTAACCGGATAGAACCCTCCAGGAGCGCATAGAGCTCACCAATTGTACTAGTCAGAAAGAAACAAGGAACCTGGCGGATGTGCATTGATTATCGTCAACTCAATGCCGCTAGTGAACCCGACGCGTACCCACTGCCTCAAATCGGAGCCATTTTGGACCAGCTAAAAGAAGCAAAGTACATCTCAACCATCGACTTAAAGAACGGCTACTGGCAGATACCGTTAGCCAAGAAGTCTCGGCCATATACCGCCTTCACCGTTCCCGGCCGAGGACTTTTTCAATGGAAGGTAATGCCCTTCGGACTACACTCCGCCCCNCCAAATCAGAGCCATTTTGGACCAGCTAAAAGAAGCAAAGTACATCTCAACCATCGACTTAAAGAACGGCTACTGGCAGATACCGTTAGCCAAGAAGTCTCGGCCATATACCGCCTTCACCGTTCCCGGCCGAGGACTTTTTCAATGGAAGGTAATGCCCTTCGGACTACACTCCGCCCCAGCCACCTTCCAGCGCGCCCTCGACTCTATACTCGGCCCGGAATTGCAACCAAAAGTGTTCGCCTACTTAGACGATATCATCGTGCTAGGCGAAACGTTCACCGAACATATGACCTACTTACGCGAAGTCTTTCATAGACTTCAGAACCACAAANAATGCCCTTCGGACTACACTCCGCTCCAGCCACCTTCCAGCGCGCCCTCGACTCTATACTCGGCCCGGAATTGCAACCAAAAGTGTTCGCCTACTTAGACGATATCATCGTGCTAGGCGAAACGTTCACCGAACATATGACCTACTTACGCGAAGTCTTTCATAGACTTCAGAACCACAAAATGCAAATCAACTTCGAGAAATGCAGTTTTGTACACACCGGGATACACACCGACCCTGGAAAAGTAGCCGCGGTACGGGAAATGACTGCGCCCCGAACCATCAAGGAGCTTCGCCGCTTCCTTGGACTTGCCTCCTGGTACCGCCGCTTCATCGCTAACTTCTCCACACTCGCGGCACCCCTCAACCAGTTACTCAAAAAGAACCAAACTTGGACATGGGGCGAATTACAGAACAACGCATTNACCAGTTACTCAAAAAGAACCAAACTTGGACATGGGCGAATTACAGAACAACGCATTCGAGGCGCTCAAGGGAAAACGGACTTCCGCACCAATACTTTGCTGCCCAGACTTCAACCAACCATTTTTT